CCCCCCCCCCCTGTTTTCTCGGTGTACAATTAAACTCGCTCCCCCCTTACCGCCGTGCTCTACTATCTGAACGCCTGGAACAGGCTAGAGAATGAAAGGTTTGTCAGAATTAGGTTACGTTCAGGTCTTTAACTACCACATAGTGAAACAAAGCAAAAAAACAAATTAGGTTCAATCTGGCAGTTCTGGCCGAGCAGCGGGAACTATAACAATAAGTTATCAACATCCAATCAGATCCAAAAGAACAAGAAGAAAGCTAATCCCGCAATTACGAAAGCCAGAAAAAAGAACGGAAGGAAAGACATAAACTTTATCCACCAGTGACTGGACGCTTTAGTTTTAGGTGGTTTCCATGATTTACACTATTAATGATGAAAATGCTACAGAAGTAAGCTATTCTTAATAAGGTCCTTAGTTTATGATTTTGTATTAAATGAGGATATTATTTTTAGAAAAAAATTATCCTAACTCGCCTCCACGAGTTTGTTTGACACCGATACTGTTTTACGAAAATTGTTTGAGATTAGGCTATGACCTTAAAATGATCCTTCCTTTCAGGGACGTCTAAAAAAAGGTAAAAAATTTAATTCTGATTCTAAAATATCGAATATAGATTTCTCGCTTTTAGCTGATTAAGTTGCAAGTTTGACTGCTACTAGTACTAGCTTACTAGGAAGGACTTGCATTTATTTTTGTTGCAAACTGCTGACTAGAAGAAGTTTTGACCCTTAAAAGAAACAATCAGTGATCAATCAATATGAACTGAATTTTGAACTCATTACAACAAAAAGAAAAAGATATCTGAGAGCGATTATAACGTGACTGAATTTCACATTATGTAAGTAAAACAACTAGCTTCCTACTCAACGAAATTAACTGGAGTCAGTTATTTTCAAACAGAAAAAGAAAGAAAAATCATGTATGCAGTCAATTTCTATTGCTTTGATTTCAAAATTCTCACCATTTTTAAAAAAATAATAGCTAAGTAATGATTATTTTTTCCTTTGAGGAGAATCCTTCAAATAGTGTAGGGCCTTGTTGTTTAAGATACCTTCGACTGAAGAATAAGTGGGTAAGTAGCACACTTTGAATTTCCATCAAAAACTACAAGGGTTCTTATAAGGTAAGGTTAATTGACATAATGGTCGACTTCAGTTCATACCATGGAAACAGTGAAGCCTTTTCCACCAAGGTTAGCGGTGGGAACTTACTCTTAGAAGCTTACCTTAACTGGAGGAGATTCAATGTTTTGAGTTGGAAAAAGGCATGTGATGTTGAGTTCCTTGTGTTTCGAAGGTCACTGAGTTTAGAAATGCGCGTTATTTGAGCGTCAATGTATTTAGCACGAAAGTGCTAATTGAGGACACTATTTTTCCCGTCTCCTTCTGAAGACGAGACAGCCATTTTACTTGGTCGAACCCACGACCTCCTCCCGCTCTGCAGTGAAGCGCCACTCTACCTATTTAGCTTATCCTGTAACTGTCTGCCGCGAATCGAGGCGGTTATAGTGGATGTTTTAGCTGATGTCTCTACTGCGTATTATATGAAAATAAGGACAGGATGTTTAGCTTGTTAACCATTTCAACGGTCGTCGGGCATTTAGAGATTCAATTTTAGGTGAAAGAAACGACCACTCTTAGCTTCGCTAAAACGGAGAGGATTAAACTCTTAACCTCCACTTTAATACTATCAGAAATGGTAGTTAAAGAAAAGGCAAAAAGGTTGGTTTTTATCCTCGTAATATTACTAAAGAGCCGTCGTGCTAACTGGTATTAAATATGCCTGAGATTTTCATAATTTTAAGAGAGCAGTATCTTGATGTGAGGCTTTGTGTTTATTTTTTCTTATACATTAGTTTCTGGCAATGTAAATACCATCTTTATTTTAATATTTTACCTTCACCTTTTGAGTGTCATTGCCAATTTAGATTATTCATAAAACTAAAACAAATTGGTCTTTAGAATCAGTTATCTTTAAGCCTTTTTTCGAGCAACCTTTTTAAAGTCCTCATGCACTCTTTACTCCCGGCACGGGCTTTTATAGCCCATCCAGTAGATTTCTTTATAATAAGGCTTGAAATGGAGTGTTCTTTGGTGCGCACATATTAACAGCTTATCTAAGCTGATGCTTTTGTACAGAGGAGAAAAGCAAAATAAGACCCAGTTTATTGAAGTAGTAACCAAACTCGTCGTTATATCATAACACCGGGAACTTTTAAGGGACAAAAATGCAGACAGATGATGCAGATTTTTAGCCCATAATTTAATTTTGTGATAATGAGAATTTTTCATGGCATGTTTAACTCTTTAAGCCTTAAGGTTTTACATTATTTCTACGTTAAATAGCAGGATTCGAAAGTGAATTCAATCGTAGAACTGCCAATGACATGTGGGAACGAACGTTGGGAGATTTTCTTGCGGCTGAGACTGCCTTGCGCTTATTCCTGTGTAAAAAAAAAAAGAAAGAAAGAAGAAAATTGTTTATTCTATTGAAAACATTGAGGACGAAGATTTTATTGCCCAGAGGTGAAAGTGATCCGGGGAGCCGGGGAGCTCCTGGTATCTCGTGCGTTTTCATACAAGCCTCTGGGCACAACATAGGCCAAAGAGGGAAGCGAACTGCTTCAAACGCAGGGGGGTTTTATGCTATAACATATCTCTCCAGCAGATAACTACAGAAAACGATTTCACTCGAATTTTTTCACACTCCTGTTTTTCTCCTTTATATACTTACATAAGGAAAACGGTAAACGTAGTTGGTCATGGGTCCTCCAACGTTGGCCCAACAATATGTAGTTTTGGTTTGGTTACCATATTTGTCATAATTCTCAGAAGCGTCCCAGGAAGACCAGCATTCTCCGTAAAATTGGACAGCGAAGTATTTGTAGCCCATGTCACGTGCTACCAACGCACATTGACGTATGGTAGCGTCCATATTGTACCAGTCAATGAAAGGTCGGAAATTTGCATACAATGTGGGAAGAGCTCGGCTAGACGAGTCTTTATAACAACCAACCGCCTCAAATTTAGGTAATGGTTCTAAAACAAAGGAATTAATGAGAAAATGCATTACAAGAAGATACAGCGTAAATATATTTCCTTAGAAGGGTAACGAAAGTGGCATATCCTCAGTGCTAGTAAAAGACATGATTAATATACAGAAAAGTAAAAATTATACTAACATTTGAGACCTGACCTGTGCAATGCTAACAGACTTAAGAAACAGGAAACATTTAAATTAGCTGCTCCAGAACCATACTTTAATGTCTATGAGGCATGTCATGATTTCTTCTTACTGTTACTCCACCAAAGATAAAGAAAACCCTACCTAAAGGTCAAGCTTGAGGCATAGAGGTGGGCTTATTCAGCCTGCCATTTTTTTGAGTGCGCATAAAAACCTTGCCATATGCAACATGCTGTCTAGTCATCCCCACAATAACGACGGATGAAAACTGGGCTAATGGAAAGTTCTATCACAAGGTGTTTCTAAGGCAGTTTTGAATATAATGGTGTCATTGGCGGTTTTCTGATTTGCACTTGTCAGTTTTTCAGGGTTGTAGTTTCTATAGGATAACAACAAACGCTAAAATTGCACTGTTATTATAGCAAATATCAAGAGCCATAATGGGACAGAGACTGTCCCATTATTGCTCTTGTAAATACCAAATGTGTAAACGACACTGTGGTCTCCAATTCCAATTCCATTTGAACACTTGTTTTTTTTGGAAGCAGGCTTGTATCGGTAGTAGGTATCCTGTGCATTTGGTCCTGACATGCACAGGCCACCATGTCNACTATTTTTCCCGTCTCCTTCTGAAGACGAGACAGCCATTTTACTTGGTCGAACCCACGACCTCCTCCCGCTCTGCAGTGAAGCGCCACTCTACCTATTTAGCTTATCCTGTAACTGTCTGCCGCGAATCGAGGCGGTTATAGTGGATGTTTTAGCTGATGTCTCTACTGCGTATTATATGAAAATAAGGACAGGATGTTTAGCTTGTTAACCATTTCAACGGTCGTCGGGCATTTAGAGATTCAATTTTAGGTGAAAGAAACGACCACTCTTAGCTTCGCTAAAACGGAGAGGATTAAACTCTTAACCTCCACTTTAATACTATCAGAAATGGTAGTTAAAGAAAAGGCAAAAAGGTTGGTTTTTATCCTCGTAATATTACTAAAGAGCCGTCGTGCTAACTGGTATTAAATATGCCTGAGATTTTCATAATTTTAAGAGAGCAGTATCTTGATGTGAGGCTTTGTGTTTATTTTTTCTTATACATTAGTTTCTGGCAATGTAAATACCATCTTTATTTTAATATTTTACCTTCACCTTTTGAGTGTCATTGCCAATTTAGATTATTCATAAAACTAAAACAAATTGGTCTTTAGAATCAGTTATCTTTAAGCCTTTTTTCGAGCAACCTTTTTAAAGTCCTCATGCACTCTTTACTCCCGGCACGGGCTTTTATAGCCCATCCAGTAGATTTCTTTATAATAAGGCTTGAAATGGAGTGTTCTTTGGTGCGCACATATTAACAGCTTATCTAAGCTGATGCTTTTGTACAGAGGAGAAAAGCAAAATAAGACCCAGTTTATTGAAGTAGTAACCAAACTCGTCGTTATATCATAACACCGGGAACTTTTAAGGGACAAAAATGCAGACAGATGATGCAGATTTTTAGCCCATAATTTAATTTTGTGATAATGAGAATTTTTCATGGCATGTTTAACTCTTTAAGCCTTAAGGTTTTACATTATTTCTACGTTAAATAGCAGGATTCGAAAGTGAATTCAATCGTAGAACTGCCAATGACATGTGGGAACGAACGTTGGGAGATTTTCTTGCGGCTGAGACTGCCTTGCGCTTATTCCTGTGTAAAAAAAAAAAGAAAGAAAGAAGAAAATTGTTTATTCTATTGAAAACATTGAGGACGAAGATTTTATTGCCCAGAGGTGAAAGTGATCCGGGGAGCCGGGGAGCTCCTGGTATCTCGTGCGTTTTCATACAAGCCTCTGGGCACAACATAGGCCAAAGAGGGAAGCGAACTGCTTCAAACGCAGGGGGGTTTTATGCTATAACATATCTCTCCAGCAGATAACTACAGAAAACGATTTCACTCGAATTTTTTCACACTCCTGTTTTTCTCCTTTATATACTTACATAAGGAAAACGGTAAACGTAGTTGGTCATGGGTCCTCCAACGTTGGCCCAACAATATGTAGTTTTGGTTTGGTTACCATATTTGTCATAATTCTCAGAAGCGTCCCAGGAAGACCAGCATTCTCCGTAAAATTGGACAGCGAAGTACTTGTAGCCCATGTCACGTGCTACCAACGCACATTGACGTATGGTAGCGTCCATATTGTACCAGTCAATGAAAGGTCGGAAATTTGCATACAATGTGGGAAGAGCACGGCTAGACGAGTCTTTATAACAACCAACCGCCTCAAATTTAGGTAATGGTTCTAAAACAAAGGAATTAATGAGAAAATGCATTACAAGAAGATACAGCGTAAATATATTTTCTTAGAAGGGTAACTAAAGTGGCATATCCTCAGTGCTAGTAAAAGACATGATTAATATATAGAAAAGTAAAAATTATACTAACATTTGAGACCTGACCTGTGCAATGCTAACAGACTTAAGAAACAGGAAACATTTAAATTAGCTGCTCCAGAACCATACTTTAATGTCTATGAGGCATGTCATGATTTCTTCTTACTGTTACTCCACCAAAGATAAAGAAAACCCTACCTAAAGGTCAAGCTTGAGGCATAGAGGTGGGCTTATTCAGCCTGCCATTTTTTTGAGTGCGCATAAAAACCTTGCCATATGCAACATGCTGTCTAGTCATCCCCACAATAACGACGGATGAAAACTGGGCTAATGGAAAGTTCTATCACAAGGTGTTTCTAAGGCAGTTTTGAATATAATGGTGTCATTGGCGGTTTTCTGATTTGCACTTGTCAGTTTTTCAGGGTTGTAGTTTCTATAGGATAACAACAAACGCTAAAATTGCACTGTTATTATAGCAAATATCAAGAGCCATAATGGGACAGAGACTGTCCCATTATTGCTCTTGTAAATACCAAATGTGTAAACGACACTGTGGTCTCCAATTCCAATTCCATTTGAACACTTGTTTTTTTTGGAAGCAGGCTTGTATCGGTAGTAGGTATCCTGTGCATTTGGTCCTGACATGCACAGGCCACCATGTCCAAGAGCAAACACATTGTAACCACTTTGTTTTGTAAGCTCCTTGCACTCCATTAACGTTTTGCTTGCATCAGCTTCTTGGGTGAAATCACCAAGTGTTTCTGAGAACAGGTCTTGAGGTGTCTTGAAACACCCGATCTCGTACTCTGTTGGGGTAAAATAGAGAGGTAATAGTTTTATCGCAAATCTGAAAAGTTGGATTCAGTGCTGAAATCTTGCCAATGGAGAGAGAAAGGGATTGACTGAATGCAACCTCTTCAGTCTATTTACTGTGTACCACATAAGTTTGGATGAAGATCAAATTTGGCTATAGGGTAGTGGCAAGTCCTCCCCATTTGTTAAACATTAGGTATTTAGTACGTTTTGTATAAATTACCCTACATCTTTCCTACACTAAGAAAATTCAGCAGGTGGAAGCCAGAGTAATTGTGCGTACGTTAAAATGACGCGTAGTCATTCTTCATTGTGGTGGCTTAATTTTTCTTTGTACTGTATAGTAAGGAGGGTTTATACCTTTACAGGGGTTGTCACTATTGCATGACTCCGTTATAGCAGGAGGTGGGGATTCGTATTCACATTGTATGTCTGAAACATCTTCATCTTGTCCCAGTTCGTTTATTCTTGAGCATTTAACCTCCCTGGTTCGGTTTCCGGTAAGGCAAAGCTTTGAACACTAAGGAATAAAAAATGCACAATTTAAAGTCATCCACAAATACATTCAAGCATAAGTGTTTCTGCATAACTAGTTACTGGTTACAGATCCCATTGGGGTTAGAAATGAACGGAACTTGTTGTGTCCTCATACGATTTACCCTACTATTTTAAACAGTCCCATGACCTAAGGTTGGGACGCGCAGTCACTGCAAAAGATTGTTACTTTCTTCCCGAGTGATTCTTTAAAGCCACACAAGAGTAACATCACAAACCGAAAGAGTTATTAGAAGAGGCCTATCAAAGGATTTTCGGAGATGAGCCATACTGCTAATCAAAAAGAGTAGGGGGAATTTCTGTTCGATTAGAGTTGTGTGGGAAAAGGACTGTTAATTTCGGGCTGACACTCATCAGATTATCGCTGCTCTGGTGAAGCTATTGAATTCTGCGTTGTACTACGTATTCCATACCTCAGGCCAGTAGGTTTTCCACGTAGCAGGACAGTTCACATCATTGCAGCTTGATCTGAATGTCATTGGCTTTAATGTTATGTTACATAGGAATTCTGACTCGTCTATGTCGTAATGAGTGTCGTTTAGCTTTGCGCGGCAAACAACAGATCGTGACTGGGTACCTTTTCCACATGTTTTAGTACAAGCTTGCCAATCGTCTGTATGCCAGCTAATTTCCAAAGTAAAATACATATTACTGGGAAGGTTATGAGAAGCAAAAAAAACTCGATAATATCCACTAAACGTTGGATGATGGATTGAAGAAAATGAAAGGTCAAAATTCACGTTTAATTGAAAATTTGGAGAAAATTAGTTAAATTAAACTATTTTCGGACAGAGGTGATTCTGGCTTTGCCTACTAACAAACAAACATTGAAAGATATGAAATAAAGAAATCTGAAACTTTTTCAACACTTGTGGCAGAAATATTCCAGTACGATGTGTGCTAGATAAATATTTTCTCTCAGCTCAATACTCTATTCTTCCGAGTTAAATTTGTACTCTTTTCTTTATAGAGTTTGAGTTACCACTAAAGTTTATCTTTCCACCTTCTTACCTGTAACAGAGATTCACAGAGTTTGGTTTGGACTCTTCTCCACAGCAGTTAACACTAGCAGCTGTCTGACCGGTGTCATTGTCCGATCTGACGCAAAGTACCTCGCGGGTCTGCTGTCCTGTTAAGCGATGAGATGACAAAGTTAGTTCAGCCAAAATATAAATGGCTAGTTATCGAAAGAGGCCAGCCCAAGATTATATCCAGAATAGATAAATTGCTACAGCTGTTATAGTTCCTTGTAAGTTGGCGAGTCTTAACGAAACGAGCTAACTAAACTAAAGATAACTAGAGTAAAGATCATTGTAAAAATAACCACCTGTTGTGCAATCTGTCCAATTTGATGTGACCCAGGAACAGGTTGCTGACTCAGGGGATTCGTTCTCCCCAAGAGGCCTCAAATACTGATAGTCGATTCCCACGTTTGCTTCTGACAAATGAGCAAACTATACGAAAAATAAAAAATATCAATCAGTGTAAGTTAGGAGTAGAACGAATTGTCAAAAGAAGATGACAAAAGGAAAGCACTATCAAAACATATAGAAACACAAGAAAATGGTACCATTGCAGTCAGTAAACATCGAAAGTCATGGTCAACAATTCAAGAAATCTTACAAGTAAACAAGCTACTTTTATACTTTTATTCCTAGAGACAACAGTTGAGACATGTAATGTGTTTTAAACGTTTGACTTATCGCACGAAATCTTGGGGGTTTAACCTTATGTATTCAGCATTTTAACATACTGTATTTATTCGATTAACCGCCCTGGGCGCTTATTAAATTTATGGACCTCGAGAGTGGGCGCTTATTCAATTTTCACAATTTCAAAAAGTGTAGCATGTTTATTTTGGAACAAAATAATAAATGGTAATAACAAAACTCGAACATGTAACAAAGCAAGGTTTCTGTAAAATAGTCTGAAGAAAACTCCTTCTCCGGGGAAGTGTCTTATTAGTACCTACTCAATTTTTTTTCGGTTGGGAGGTGAAAGAGGGTGGGGTTGGGGTGGGCGCTTATTAACTGTTTCTGTCTTTAGGATGGGCGCTTATTCGAGGTGGGCGCTAATTCGAGGTTGGGCGCTTATTCGAATAAATACGGTAGCTACATTAATTCAGTATTATTAGATTTCTTTTTTCATGTTCTTCTTGACCTCATCATAGGATTGGAGAGAGCTGAAGACTACATTCAGTTCTAATCAATACTTACAACTATTCTAAGAGGCATATTTGTTGGACCTTCAATTTCCAAGCGGTCAGGAAACTTAGCGTCATTAATGTAGGTTATTTTTGTACCAGCTTTGTATACAACTTTGCCCCACCAAGAAGGAATAGGAATCAAGTCATTCCCCTCTTCATCTTGAACACCTGAGCGGAAAAAACAGAGAAACTGTGAAAGACACTGTGTGTGATTTGCATTTGTAATTTTTTTGTTTGTTTGTATTTTTGCATTAATCCTTGGTTAACTTATATTGTGCTTATTACTAAAAGGGGTATTTTTGATAAGGAAATAGAATAGTTGATCCTCACGAAGTCATTTAAAATATGGCCTTTTAAGTCGCTGACAACTATCACCGTCAGTGTTAGAGGCGTCAGAGTTACCCTGATTCATATAATAGCGCGCTCAAGTGAGGCTACTTCGCTTAAAAGCGTTAACTATTCTATTGACTTGAGTTTCAGCAAACCATCTGACCTTCGTGTCAGTCTGAGTTCTTATTGCCAGTTCATGGTATTTTAATAGACATTCTAACCGTTCAATTTGGCTTCGAATATAAAAAACGTAAGTGTGTTTAATCCGTCTTTTTGTCTTTGAATAAAAAAATGTAGGAGATCTTATTTAATGGGATTAAGAATAAAGGTGCTTACCAACACTCAAAACTGACCGACTTGTAAGATATCCCTTCAAGTATTAGACACTAGTCTGAGGTCTCTCGTTTTGTTTAACGTTTTTGCAGTTCTTGTTTCACTCAAAACTGCCAAAACGTCGACGGTATCTGTTTTGTTTGTTAATGGCCTTTCCTACTTACCAATTAAATTATAGGTCTTGCTTCTCTCTTCGAAAACGGCATTAGCAGAGTGCACGGGTAGTTCAACAATGGTATCAACAGGGCTATAAGCTGAAATATCGATGAATGGTAAATGGAAAATGAATTGAAACGATCGCTTTTTTCCTGTGAAGACAACTCAAGATTCCGCAGAGCTCAACCCAAATACAAAGCTGAAAAAGTGTCTGAGTAACCTTTTCATAAGAACATGTTTATTTCTATCCCAACATACACTACAAGATCATTTCTCATATTGTTGTTCATCTACGTTACGTTATTTTCCATAAGGACAAACTTAAATGTTACCATATTGGATGTAGTTCTCGGTATAGGTGGACTTCACCAAGGTACAGGAATCTCCATCGCCACCACAAACTCCACATCGATCTTTGACCTTTCCCGAACTCATGACGTGATCACAGCCCACGGACTGTAGAAGAAGAACGCAAAATGATTTAAATTTATTAACAGTATGAGTTCTTCATTCGATCGATATCGTGCGGATTAAAGCAATGCACCAATCTGCTCTCCGACCTAAGTTTCCCAAAGTGGCTACACCTAATGTGCACCAGGTTAATGTAAACACTTTCCAATTCTAAGAAATAAAACACACACACTCAAAGAAAAAAACTGCTTTACAATACAGCGCAATTGCGAGTATATCCCCAAAGATCGATGTTACTTGGGGTCAAAACCTGGTGTCAAAACTAGCTATCGGGTACAACAGGTTTAGACGTGAGTTTAATAGTACCTGGCATTGTCCATTTATGCAGACATCATACACAAAAGGGTTTTGGTGATCACATCGAGTCCCGTCAGCCACGTTACCATAAGTGCGAACTGAATTTCCTGATCGGCAGGTAAGTGTGCATGCACTGACGCCTGAAATACAAAGATACACGCATATGAAAATCAATTTAATTTCGCACAATAGGTTTAATATTCAGTCGCAATTTCACTTGAATTTCATACTTTCACATTCTGAGGTTCTCTGGGATTCTTTTAATCACATGCAAAGCGCCCTAAGGTTTAGCGGAATTTCATTCTCAGCGGAGTTACTTACTTTCGAGTTTACAAATCCTATCGAACAACCCATCTCCTGGCTTTCAGATCAAGTTTTTGTGGGAACGTTTCACAAAAGCCTACCGAGGGACCCCTACCGAGTCACAAACACACACCACATCAAATTCGAATTAATCAGGATTCAACTTATAAAGTAGCTATAACCTTTACAAGTGCGCGTACACTACCTTGTTGGAATTAATAATAATAACAATAATAATTAAAGTTCTTAAAAACGCATTCTGCATTTAAAAGAATATTTTATGAAGTTAACCTGATATGTGGTATATACCTCCAGTTGTAATTTATTCTTTTGTAAAAATAACAAAATCCCCTGTACTTGAATTTATATGTAAGGTGTTTCTTTCTGTATGTCATTGTATTTCTTTTCTTTTCTTTTTTCTTACGTAATTTAATAACTTCTTTATTTAAAGTCTTGTCCTGCCTAGATTAGCATTATAGCTATTTACAGGACATAAAGTTTTGTAACTTTATATTTCTTTAAAGAAATACATTGTTGTTGTTATAAATGTCTCGATGCTTTTTACCACTAAAAGAAAGAGCTCTCACGAAAAATATACGTTTTTAAGAGAATATCAATACTGTTCTTTAACAACCAGGTAGATTTTGGATCGAGAGCACAACTGAATGAATTAAGCTTTTAGACAATAACATGTTTGTGGAAAAATAGTTTTGCGCACCAGCGGAACGCTTCTTGACCTTAATCTAGTTTTAACTATTTTATTTCATACTTGATATGTGATAGAAGGTTAAGGTTGAATCAATTTCCTGACATTGGATGTTGCGATATGTTGATTGAGTGGGTGGACAAGCAACCTGAAAACGAAAAAGAGAGGCTCCAGAATTCTATAACTTAAAAATATAACGAAATATATTCGTTATTTCGACCATTAAGTTCCTTTCAACGATGCGGCCAGAAATAATCTTCTCCCTAAATTAACCCGTGAGTACGACTGGCAGAATGCCTGGTGAGACAGCTGTCAAGTAACAACTATCCTAACTCATGATTAAACAGCAACGGCATAAATTATTAGATAGTTTGGAGACCCCTTCTCACATTACCTCACTACCATTTACTCACATAACTATTGCATATTTCCCAATGAGCTTTCGATGGCCCAGCACAGTTTTGACCTCCATTCTGAGGACTGATAAAAAAAAAGTTTAATAAAAACTTTTAAAAAATCGTCATGGTAGGACGTTTTTGTTCCATTTGTATTTTTTTGTTTTTTTTCTTTGTTTCTCACTTCAGTGTTTTGCCTAAAGTTATGATTAATTATTGTATTTTTTTCCTGATCTTTTAGAAAAAACAGAGGTGCATCCAGAATATTCAGAAAGGGGCGGCTTGGACACTTGCCAATTATATACCATTTATTTTATTGAGAATTCTTTAAAAATATTTCGAAATTGCCCAAAAAAAGAAGAATTGCGATCCTCTGGACTTGCCTGCGTGCAGACGTCTCCTATTTCCTTCGTTGCACGCGGAAAAGGGACAGGAGACCTCTGCACGCAGGCAACACTGGACCAACCCTTAAATCCGCCCGTGGAAAATTCTTATGTTTAGTCTCCTTATAATTTCAAAGCAAGGCTAAATGGATCGTTTGTCAGTAGAAGCAATGCTTTCAACAACTCTCAGTACTGAAACCTTCTCCTAAAAAAAAAAAAACGTGAAAGAAGTCCCATTGCGTTTAGGCCTCTTCTATCCGCTTCACTTACGCTGGGTTAGTGCATGTTCTTTCTCTGTATCGCACGCCTCCTTCACAAGAAGGAGAGCACGTGGTATAGTCAGACCACTCGGTCCAGCCTCCGTCGGTCTTCGGTGTGCCATTATCTACACAGGCACCTTTGATGCACCACTTAAAAAGAGGAAAAATCAGTTATATTCCAAATATGTGTTAATGCACTCTTTCGGAAGGCTAGGGATTTAACTTACCTTGCGCATTCCACAAGGCGTTCCTTCAAGGGGCAATATAAAGGAGGACAAACATTTGTAGCCATCTCGAGTACAATGCAGGGCCTCGCATGAATCCTGGAAATTTAGCAGTAATGAAAAGTTAATTTCAATATTCCAGCAGAATATGCTGGACTATACTAGGCGTAGTATACGGCCTTGCTTTTCATGAGTCTCTCCTCTCGGTGGCTCGGTGGATAGAACTCAATATCTAACGTTCACATGTCATTGGGAGTTACGCATTAATTTCATTCTAATACTCTCTTGTAATTGCTTGTTACGTGTTTAAAACATATAGTCGACTCTTGTTTACCTCGAGATTTATATGTGGACATCTTCTATACCCAGTACCATAATCGTATTCGCATTGTGTATCTGCGTCAACTAGTTCCCCTGGCAGCCTTGTGTAGTAGGATTCTGGTGGAATAGGACGAGTAGATGAAGGAACATCATCCAGGCAAAAAGAATCATCGCTCCTTTGTGCGAAAAAAAGAAGTAATAACTAAACTTACCAAATTAACTGCGTTACTGGTTAACCTTTTTTTTACACAAAATGGCATTCACTGAAAAAGTGGTTGGATGAACTAATGGGTAAGAAAACTGATTTGTTTATTTGTTGACATGACAAGTCCACATCTTCAATGTGTTACAAATTATTGTCGCCATTTTTGTCTAGTCCATTCTTCTATTCTCGAACTATGTAATTTCCTTAGCTACTTACGGGTGGGAAATTATGCAACTATTAAAAGTTGAGTGTCAAGAAATTAAAATTTCTTCTTGTTGCAAACGTTTAAATTGATTACGAAAACGATATCCTAAGGCTCGGCAGTCTCTCCTTTAGTTGCCGCGGCCGAAAAACTGTGAAAACTTCTCAATAAAAAGTCTCGAAATACATCACCACGTTTTGAAGTTTTAGTAGAGTACAGTTTAAACTTGAAAGAGAAGGACTCTGGACTAAAATTTCGCATACCCCAAAAAGTTACAACCAGCTGGTTTGCAAAGTCAATATTCTAACAAAACTATGGACACTTTTAACATTCTTTCAGGTTTTTTCATAGATGACAAAATGTATTCACATACGAGAGGAAAGTTTGAATGGCAGCCCTGCTGCAAGAAGACCACTTCAAGGCCCCAGGGCCCGCTATAAGCGTCGACGACATGATGTTGACATAATTTGGACAATCGGCATTTCCATCATGATCAACGCCAAGACTGTGAAAATAAATAAAATAACATCATAACAGAATTAGACCTTTATAACGTTGGTCAGTACTTTTTACAGGTCCATGCACAGTTTTTCATCAAGAAAATGATTATAAGTTGATTTTAACCAATAGATAGATTTTATTTCCTGGACAATAGGAGTGACCTTGTTCCTCTGAATTGAGAAGTCTACAAAACGGAGCTCGATGCCAAAGCAGCATCCAAGCCACAGAAGCCATTACTTACTTGTGAGCAGTCTCATGTGCAATCTTATAAGCAGTTTGCAGTCCGTTATCGCTGTTTACATTAACCAGGTCATTGTGACGGCAAACTGAATTGTACACCACCGCCACTCCTAAAGATCCAAAACAGAAACGTTTAGAAAATTGCAAAAGCTATATCAAACACTTTTCTAGCGACCCAAATATACAAAGTGGGCTTACTATATAACGCCAGTAAACCACCAAAAAGTTTGCTATATTGCTTTTATAAAAAGCTCTGCGAAAACAATTGAGCTAAAAAAACCTCGTGTTCAGGGCTTGTCGGTTGCTTTACCTCTTTTTAGCGACATTATGGCAACAGCCTGCACTATTGACGTCATTTTAACAAAGATCGATAACGTCTTCATAATTTGGTCAACACTAGCTCGTTATGAAGAATTAACCGGCGGATACAGTGTCAGTAAGCCAGTCAGAAACGGAGTAATATTTTGAATGAATGATAAACTATGATATTACGACATAGATAATCTCAAGATTTGGGCCCTTTGACTTTCACGATATAAAAGCCGTTGCTGAACATATTTGACTACATATAGTGTTACAAGCAGTAATTGAAAAAATATGGATTTATCCCATTATTATTCTAAGAGAATAAAGGAAGAAAAGAAATTGCGACTCGTTTTGATCACCCACTAAGAAGAAAGAAGAGGTATAAAAGTCATATTCCTTACCTCCAATTCCAGCGCTTTGAGGATAAAATACAAACAGTAAGAGTAATCAGAATCAATGGATATAACAAATTATTATTTTGTTACAAATATTTTTAAATAACGTATTTTGACGCATATTTTCTTAGGTGTAAGCCTACGTGGAAGCCGACGCCCTCATCGTGCGCCCAATTGGGTAGGTGTTAAAAAAAAAAAAAGAAAATCGGTACTTTAAGCATTATTTTACCCTTTTAATAATTGTGTCATCTGTCATTAAGTAAACTAGATTGTTTCGTAAATGAAATAGGCCACTTCCAAGTTCCAAAAACCCTCAGTTTCAAAATAAGGCAAAGTGCGCAACCTTTCGTTTTATTTGGATGAGAATGAAAAATCATTTCATATTTCATATCAAAGGCTGAGCACTTAACCTCGTTTGGTAAAGAGGCCTGGGCCGGGAAAACTCGGAAATGGCCTATCCATTTATTTTGGGAAATAGGTTTCGTTCTTGTGAAAATTTTTTTTTTTTAGCTGGGTACACTAAATTGACTAGTGTGACGTGGTAAAAGACATTCACTTTCTCGGTATAAAACATTATCAGTTGGTAATAATGATGAGTCAGGTTACCTGCGAACAAGAGAAGCAACATCGAACTGAAGTGGATCAGATGCGTTATTTCTGTTGTTATCACGAGCCCAGGCTTCCAGTTTTTGGATCACAGTCACCTGACTTACACCTGAATTTGAAGGATCAACTCCAAGCTGAAAATCAGGGAGGTAAAGCCAAAATTACTATAAGCACTGATCGATTGATCGTAAGCAATTTTTTGGGTGTTTAAAAACATCAAAGTTAACTAAAAAATGTATTGCCATGGCTATAGGACTGAAACACGGCGACAATTTACCCCTTCACTTCCAAGAGTGGCCTGATCAGGAACCCTGGCCTAAGTCAAAATTTAACAAAATCTCTTTATTTCATTTTGTAAAATGATGAAAAACAAATAGTACTGGCTTAATGTGACATTCTTGCAAAAGAGGTTTTCTTTAAATGTTCAACACAACGCAGGAATTTGACCACAGATTCAAAAGTTAGAAGAACCTTAGAAGACTCTACCATTCACTCTGGTACTGAAAGGGTTAATCAAACTATTCACTGGAAATTTAATTAATTCAAATAATCAGTTCTCAGCTGTTTCATGCTCTTACAGCCAAATTTTGTATGGCTGACATTAAAACTTGTGGATGACATTAAAACTCGGTGGCATCAAAACTTGTGGATTCAAAAGAAAAAACAATATTGTACAGCTTCAAGTGACATCCTTCTCGTATCAGTGACTCTAAATGAATTTAACCTTTCGTGGAAAAGAAAGCAGAGGATGAATATTACAGTAATACCTCTTCATTTGTGATAAGGACAAGACGCGTGATTACATAATTGATTTTGATGTTTCCAACAGTTACACCATTGAAAATTGAATTCACCTGAAATTTCAAAACAGAGTAACTGACTTAGTAATAGCCTTTCAGGAAACATTTCACAGGCGAAAATAAAATAAGAATAAGATAGGACATAAATTTCATACCCCTGGGGTAATTTCCGTATTTATTCGATTAACCGTCCTGGGCGCTTATTAAATTTTTGGACCTTGAGAGTGGGCCCTTATTCGAGGCTGGGCGCTTATTAAATTTTCACCATTTTTAGCAAGTGAAGTGTGTTTATTTTGCAACAAAACAATAAATGGTAATAACGAAACGCGAAGATGTAACAAAGCAAGGTTTCTGTAAACTACCCCTACGCTGAAGAAAACTCCGTCTTCTTTTTAAATTAGTACTTATTCAATTTCCATCTCATTGTCACCCAAGTGGGTGGGGTTGGGTGTGGGAGCTTATTCGAGGCTGGGCGCTTATTAACTCTTTCTGCCTTTAGGATGTGCACTTATTCTAGGTGGGCGCTAATTCAAGGTGGGGCGCTTATTCGAAGAAATACGATATGTTGGGTGGTGAGTGCGAAGATTCAATTTGTGATCATTTCTTCCGTGACCAACAAACGTTTCTCTTCAGTGACACTGACGATGCCAAATTTACTTTTCCAATAAAGTTTCCGCACTTTAAATCGAATTTCTCCAATCCTTGAAAGAAAACTTCCTAAAAGAGTGCGCCATCCACATATCTGTATTCAGCTTAACAATTTAAACTAGGGAAAGAAGATAAGCTCATGTATCAGCCAAGAATATTATCACCCTACGCGTGCCGTGATTCTTCTAAATCGTACAGAAGAAGGCGCCTTTAATACTTCTAATACAGTCAAACCCGGAGGGGAGCATAGAGAGTGTCCGTATTTTAAAAATCGGTGTCTGTATCAAGAGGGTTCAATTTAGAGAAAATGTAAGCCGGTCTTTCTTTCTCCAGGGACAAATCAAATTGTCCGTAATAATGAAGTGTCCGTATTAAGCAGGTGTCCGTAAAGCGGGGTTTGACTTTACATCGTAATCATCAGGTAGAAAAGTGGTGGGAAATCTTTTAGGATAAAATGAAAAATGAACGTATAGTATGTACATATGGTTTTAGCCTTACAATGCTGCCTAAAAGCAGAAGAAATTCCTCAGTTTTATTCCCGTGAGCTGAAACAACATGTTCGTCTGCCAGTAATGCTACCTCCAGGTACTTGTCGATCAGTAGGCCTTCATTACTATTCGCGTCTTCTAGCTGCTGATTTAGGCCTCTTTTTGAAAACTTGTTCATCTCTAAGGGTGGATTAAAATCAAGAGCGATTAATCTTAAGGAACGTCTCTAGACTAAGTGTATTGTTTTCCTTCATTCTACTTACAGTTCCTTGAGATCACTTAATATCTCAGAATGCTCGAAAAATGTATTTCCTCTAACAAATTTAAGCACTATTCACTAATAAGTATCTTGAGTATGAATAGATCTCTAGTTAACAGTTATTATCAACAGCAGTCCTATAGGCGAATCTTAGTTTACACTTTTTGCCTCATTAACATATGCTTATCACTAACTGATGACGCTAATGAAATATAAACTCTGAATATTGAAAGGGCATAATAGTTTCAGTTATCTCTGAAAATTTGAGCCCAATACACCGAATGGTTTCAGAGAAATTCTCTTCTAAAAACTCGAAATTTTACAGACAATTTATGGCTCTAACTTTTTTGCCACCCAGCAATTGCTGATATTTCCTTCAATATTGCTTGCAAAGAGCTGAAAATTGCACAAATTTCTCAACTTAATTAATCGGCCCTTTCAACTTTTGAATTTAGTTCGTATTTATGCCCACGGCTTCTATGAGTTCAGTCGTATGCTAATGAGGAAAAATGTAAACAATGACGTCAGCAGAGATTCGCCTATTCAGGACTGCGCGGCCCACCAAAGCGGCGATCATGAATTCCCCTTGTTATTCCACCCACTTATTACAAATAGTTCAAACCATTTTCAATTATAATTACTCACTTGTGTGACATTCAAAGTCTTCCTGCAGAGGTCTCTTATACACCACATGCGGTATTCCTTCGCTTTCGTTTCGAAATTGTAAAGCCAAGTGTTCGGGAAGAGGATGGACGACCATGGCGTCACGTGATCGTTTAATGAAACCAGTCTGTCATAGCAAATCAAATACAATCGTTTACTGAATCGTCACACGATACAACATTGATTATGCGGTTTACAAGGCACAGCCACAAAAAAATCACTTTCCGGTGTTTTTGTTTGTTTGAGTGCTCAAAAACAAAAAAAGAACTGAATAATTTGTATTGAAAAAACATGAGAAAACAGCCGACTTTTCGCGACGCCACTGCTGCAGGTTTCTTGCGAAATAACGTCTTAGAAGGGAGTTTGAAAATTTCATACTGATGACGTGTCACTGCGCAGATCTGGGTAGATAGTGCTTCTGAATGGTTAAAGCAAATCTCCCTCGCGGTGCCATCAATAAAAAGCACTACCCAGAACTAGGGATAGTGGCATGGTGTGGAATCAGTTCTGCAGTCGTTCATCAGACGTCATTTCGCAGGGAAACCTGTAGAGGCATCGTGAAATGTTGGCTGTTTCCTCAAGCTTCAAGTGTAGCAAAAATAGTTTTTCTGCAGACTTGTCATAAGAAGTTTTTGAATAGCTTTTATTGATCTTGTTACACAGTGTAATTAAAAGGCATTATTTCATTGTAGGAATCATTTCATTTAAGCTTGAATATCAATTCAAAGTACAAATGACCAATTACCATTCCATCCCTAACACTCAAAGCTACTAAGGAATCTGGTTCCGAGTCCACCTGCCCGGTCACGTAAAAGGTATTTTCAGAGACAGGTCTTGTAGTTCGCCTTCCATCTTGATCACGTGATTCTAATTGAAGATCCGGTGCCATAAACTTTGTGTTACGTTTAACATGAAGACGCAGCTGTTCCCCAAAGGCGTTGAGATGGTAATTATACTGAATACCATTGCCTTTATCATCAATCCCTCTTTTCAGCAGCCGACGGTGGTTTAGAGAATTAAATGCCAGGCCTCCCTTTTCGTCCCTCTCGAAGGGAAACGTGACTTCGTATTCAGGAACTTTGGAAAAATGGTATTAAAATGTTACGATATATGTAATATTACAATTCATGGGGAGAAAATGACTCAAAATTTCACCTAAGTCGATTAAAAGGTCCTTTATTCATTTCAACTATACCATCCATCCAATGCTGTACTCCAAAATAGTGTTTGATTTCCCCTCTCGTCATTTGATTGTGAAGAGTAGACTATAAGGGAAAATGAAACTGTATCAGATAACGTGTAATTTTAAAGATATTAATATTAATCTTTTCAGTGAAGCCATGTCACAGTAAGCGCCGGGAATCTTGTTTGAGTTCTAGGGATCAAAAACATTATTTGTATTGAATTGCATAAAGTTCTTCAATAGCAGATGTCAGCTACAAGGTTTAGAAACATTCTCGGAATAATCGAAAATCTGAATGGCTCTAAGGATATTTTTTTAGACTAACTCTGAGTAAAAACAACACCAAAAAGAACAAAAATAAATAAAAATAAATACAGGAGATATATTTTGTTATTTCAACTAACCAGCTCTTCGGTAAAAGGCAAATTTCAAGTGGCAGCCTAAGAAATTTTATCTTTTGGAATCCGTAATCATGTTTTCCATTCTGACTTTTGAATATTGAGAAAACTGTAGTTGCACATTGTTAGTTATAGGCTTTATAATCACCTCTCCACCAGTGGCACGATTTTCTCCTAAAAATTTGAAGTTAAAAAGGAAAGAAAAATATTAATTAACTTTAAGAAAGCCAGTGAGGCTAGTCAAAATGACATAATCTTAACACTTTCGAGACGACTTAAGTTCCCCTAGGACATCCGAACAGATAAACAGTTTTTAGGGCAGCTTCAAAGTAACCAGACACGCTTCAAAATCATAGAGAAAACCATTTGAGACACTCCTGACGTATTTGGAAACAGTCGGTCGTTGGGTAACCGAGGTAACTGACATGTACGTTACTAAGTATATGCCATTTGTTAAGTTCTAGTCGTCTTATTTACCTCTGGGGATTTGCCAGGCAAAGCAGGATATGGCCAATACCAATATTGGCATCATCATTATGGCGCTGTTGAAGAAGTTCAAAGGAAGATATCTATTAATTGAACGTATTTGTAGTTGGTCTAATGCAACAACGGGGATTATTTATATTGATAAATAAAACACTCCCTAACAATTGGATTTCACTCAGTACAGTCGACTCCCGATGAATCGAACCCTCTATAACTCGAACCTCCCGCTAACTCGAAGCAATTTTCATTCCCCTTCAGATCATTTTCAATATCATTTTACCCTCGACAACTCGAACTCCCGATAACTCGAACTTTTTTCTATTTCCCTTGAAGGTTCGAATTATCGGGAGTCGACTGTATTTCCAAATTGTGCTACACCAATATGAACGTAAAACTGAATCCTAATATTACCTCAGTTCCATAAAAGCATTGGGTAGGTGAAGGCTCTTCAGAGTTTTCTGATAAAGCCAATCAATCAACAGTCATTAAGTGTCATGCCAAGTTTACTGGCATTTTTCAAGTTTTCTGACAGATAATTTTCGTTTAGTGGTGGACATAAACGCCTTGATGTCAGAAATGAATGATGCAATATTTTGAGACCTATCAACACAAGAGCAAAGAAAAGAGACCGCCGTGCGTGTTGTTCATATGCCGCTCTCATAACTTACAAAGAAAAAAACCCGAATGAAAATAACATAGAGAGATGATAATCGACAGAGTACTGATTGAACAACAAACAGCTTTTCAAGAGTCAGCGAAAAATGATCAAAATCAATTTAGTTTTACAACAGTTAAAGCTGCTTCTTTTCATCTATAAATTGTTGAATTAAACCGAGCGGCATCATTATTGTGCTCATTAAGACATTCCACAAGATATTGGCACTCATCTAAATAGCCTTAGTTTATGCTATTGACTGATCGGTTCTGGTTCCCGGCTGTCCGTTAATAATATTATGTTACAAATATGTCACTATGTACTAAATACAATATTGAAAAGAGATTAAAAGCAAAAGACAAACCAGTCTGAATAAAGTTTTCCGGAACCCCTACCTGAGTATTCGCCTCAGATTGCGCAGTCCACTGTTTACTCTTGAATGTATAAAGTATCAGTGACAGTTTAAGCTAAATGATACGATTATGAATCTTATATAGTTAGAGCTTCAGGAAGTGTGTTCGGTTATCATTACTTGTTGTTTATTGGGGCAGATGTCAGAATCTCTTCATTTCCCATGTACACCTTTAATAGACAGGAACCGGAGCAAGTTTTCGATATCAGTTCTTTCTTGACGCAAGAAATATTAATTTATTCCCTGAGGCAACGAACTTATTTCTTAACGTTATAATTCTAGAACTCTGGACCTTGAATTATTGGACGGTGCATATTATTAATAATGTTATCTTGTGTAGGTTTCTACTCTTTTTTCTTCTATACTAAATGTTTAATGAGCAGCCTTACGGAGACTAAATGGAAGACTCCAGGGGGAAAAAGTAATGTCTCTATTTTGATTTTGGCGACTAAGACGTAGCAATGTTTTCCATCCAGACGTGCATTATGAGATTAACAAGCATCATTAGATGTTAAGTGTTATCGAAGTTTCCGTAATAACTATTATCAGTTATTAAATCTTATGATAATACTTTAAGGTATCGGAACAGATGATCTCGTACCTGTCTACACGCTCTACATGAGGTATGTGCACAACTCTAACTTCTATCAAGCAGCCTTCATATACTGCCCAAAATTGAGTCGAAATTGTAATTAATACAATCCAAGTAAATTTTATTCGTAGCTTGTATTTGCAGGTCTAAATATTTCTGAAAAGTGTCGTACGCATTTTCACCTTTCTGACCGGTAAACCTTTAATCGGAAACTGTTTAGCATGGGCTGCAAAACTTTATCGAAACTAAGCACAGGACTACCTTTTTGAGGATAAGTGTTTGTCTGCACGACCAGAGACGATTATTAGTCGCAAAGCCTTAAGGTAGAGAAAAAACAATAACAGGTGAAGGGGGCAAAATATAAGATGTAAAAATAAAGAATCATGCCGAAGAGAGCTAAGTTTTGTAAACATAAAAAAGCTTGTCAAATGACGACCCCATTGTGTTGATCCATTCCAGTCTTAAATCGCCAGGTAACCATTAGGTAAGACCCTGTGTCATGATAATACTTAATCATAACGGCCATCAAAATCCCGGTTGTTGTTACCGTTATTGTTGTCTTCAGCTGTAAATCCCCTGTTGATTGATAGCACTTCTCTAATACCGCTACCTACTCCTTTTGACGAAAAATTAAGTCCACCAGCTCTAACTTACAACTCTAATCAGCCACTTTCTTTTTTGAAAGTATCCTCCAAACCACCCTTGCAAATCCCCCCTGAGGGCAAATAGGCGATTTCCAGTAGTTTTAGTTATTTTTTCCACGTACATCCTCATAGTATTAGCAGCTATTGCTAGTCCATCTGATACTTGTAAGATCGATAATGACAATGCAACATATTTTTAAATCTGGTAATTTACGCATGTGCAGGCCCTTTCAATTTTGCTGGTGTTGCGTTTACGGTTCGACTCGATTTTCTTCCAAGGTTTTCAGTGCGCAAAACCCCAGCACGCAGCACATATACAACTTAAATTTCAAAAGTTAACAAACGAAGGATTAGGGGACTTTAAGGATCATGCTTTTTAATATTTTTGGAGATTATTTTTCCTTCCATATTTACATGTAGCGTATTTGAATCGTATTTGCCCGTCCACATGAAAACTCTAGTATACAAAATACGATAGCATCCCTTACAGAGCATCCGTAATGCTAGTAGTATATGATGTGTGATTTCATCGGATTCGAAAACCGCCGTAAACGAGCACCCAGCTTTTTAAAAAAATCTTAAAACGGCCTTTACGTGTAGACGAAAGCTAAACCGTAGAAAACATCTCCGTTTTTTAAAATATCCTGATATGTGTGGACGGGTCCTAAGTCCTACAGAAGAATGCAACTTGTTTTTTAGGTTCTTCATAAAATAATCAAAAATAGCATAATTAGGACTCGACAAAATTTAGATTTGGAATCAAAGTGTCAAATTTAAAAATAATATACTAGTTACGGCAGATACAAAACGTAGCTCACAGGTCCTAAAATAAAAAGCAGGATAATGTGCAGCTCACCGTGCTACGGTAAATAAACAACACTAAAAGTGTCTGAATGCCCTACGCAAAAATAGAGTTTTAGCTTAAAGCCTCGTGCAAACAAATGCAACAGTGTTGGCCAACAACTCCCAACATTGTTGGATGTTACATGTTGTGTCCGTTTGCACATCCTTTTGCATGTTGTTGGGAGTTGTTGCGTTCGTTTGTACGTAGCAACGTCGCGGGGGGGGGGGCACTTTGGGCTCATTGTTATTTACTTGTTTAAAGCGTATGCACGAAGTACAACGACTGAGGCTCCATCCACAAGTATCGGCTTTTATTTGAAAACAGAGATTTTTTTGTCCGGTTTGGCCTACCGTCAACACGTATCCGTTGAAAACGGTCACCGAAAACGCATCTTTTCAACGCGCTCCAGAATGAATATTTTTGAAAACGCCTTGTATACGCAGATGACCTGGTATCATAATCAGCAAATGGATTAAGAAAAGCATTGTGCACACTTTCCAGATTCTGTAACAGTTGGATGATGTGGAATATAAACATCAAGAAAACAAAAATTGTACTCTTTCAAAAGAAACATAGAACGTCGACCACTTTAAAGCATCGAAATCACTAATCGTTACACCTACCTTGCCGTAAAATTTTCTACAAATGGTGGTTTTAAAGACAACAAAGCAATCCTAAAAGACAAAGCCAAGAGATCCATATTTGCAACTCGTCAGCACCTTAGACCTCCAATAGACATTTCTCACAAATTATTTAATTCACTTTTTCTCCCAATTCTGATGTATGGCCCTGAGGTTTGGAGTATCTACAATAACAATGATTATAATTCATGGGAAAATGATATAATAGAGAAAACACAAATTCGATTCTGTAAACAAGTTCTAGGTGTGAATAAAAAGTGTCCAAATGTTGCATGCAGAAATGAACTTTGGCGACTACCACTGAAGGAAATAACTAACGTAAATATTATCAAATATTGGATACATTTAGAAAACAAACATGATGATCATTATGCCAAGCAATGTTTACAAATATCAAAAGATATGGCTGAGAAAAACCAGATCAGTCCTATGAAAAACGTTAATACCTCATGCAATAATTCAAATCTCAATGAATTGTATTTAAATGTGATAATAACTCCTCAAAATAAAGAATATCCAGTTAACTCTACTTGAAGAAGTGACTTCACACTACATAATCTAAAGTTACGTACAAACGGACGCAACAACTCCGAACAAGGCTGACCCAACATTGTTGGGGGTTACTGGGGTTGTTGCGTCCGTTTGCACGTAGCTAAAAGTTTGACCGGTTTGTTGGGATTGTTGGCCAACAATGTTGCGTCCGTTTGCACAGGGCTTAACTTTTACAGAAAAAATTCGTAATAGATATCCCTTTTTTGCAATTCTGACAACAATGAAAATACCCTCTTCATATTTAACAATGTCAATCCTTATATCTACAGACTTACAGCTGCTTACACACATTCATGTATGAAATATAGACAGAAACTTGTTCTTTTTAAAATTATAGCCTTTATTTTGATTTAAGACTTACAACATAAATAATGTAGGTAATACCATGTACTCACGTGAAAATACAGAAATAAAATGTTGTTGTTGTTGCTATCTAGCATGACGCATGTTCAATAAGGGATGCTATCGTATTTCCATCGTTTTAGCATTTTCGTGTGGAAGGGCGAAAACGATTCGAATACGCTACGTGTAGACACGTATGTTTTAGAAAACAGAGAAAAAATCTCCGTTTTCAAAAAATATCCGGATACGTGTGGATGGGGCCTGTTATCGATAGGTTTACGAGAATATACATTACTGGGTAAAAGATGAGCGCATAATTTAAAGTGTTCACGTGCACGTATGGCACGGAGACTGCTAACAAAATGTTTATTCAAAAGTAACAAATTAAACGGGCTCAAAATGATAGTAAAACTTATTTCAGGGTTTTTTAGTTCAATATAGTAAGGTACCCTTCGTTTTTTCTGCTCAAAAATCCTTGAAAAGATTGCAGCTTATAAGCCTAAAACCAATAAAAAATTCCAGCGGGCAACTGCGACAGCTATACGCTTATGTTCCAAATGAGTCCACCTGCATAAATATCTTGCTTGGAACTCGTGCTTCAGTCGGGAAACCTTCAGGAGTCTCAAAATTTGACTTTTCCGACAATTTATGTCCAAGCATTCAGCGCAAAATTTTATCTAAATCTCCTCTACAACAGCCATGATACAAGCGGTTTAAAACTTGTCGCAAAAGCAAAGTTTTTACTTTTGAATTTATTCAGAGATAGGTTCCCCCCGCGGCCTTAAGAGGAAACTGCTTATCTCAGTTATTTATCAGTAGAGCAGTGACCTGTACTTGTGACCTGTGACCTTTGTTTTGTACCTGCGAATTTAGCTGTACATCCGCCGCAAAAAAAGTAAATAAGTCTTTGCTTAAAAGGTCTCAAGAAAATAGCAGTTAAGTTCATTCACATTCAGTCGTTGAACGATAATTTGCTGGTGAATACCTTAACCACATTGAAGTATAAAACGTATGTCTATGCATACACTGTACTCTTACCTCACCAAATTGTTTAACATTGCTGCGGACGTTTGTATGCTATTGGTGGAGACTCATATCAAAACCAGTCCTCTTCGTCCCACTTTACAATAAATTTGCGCAACTTAATTGGCGTCATGGAAGTTCGCCGTGAAACTCAACAAAAAAATAAAGGGATGCTATAAGACCAGGGTTAAACGTTGAACTTTTTGCATGTGACAATCCTAATGCTGATGAACGTAATCTATTGTTTTCGCTCATTAGCATTAAGTTCATCCCATGTGAAGTTCAACGTTTGACCCTGGCCTAGAATTGACCACTTGATTCGGTCAAAACATTCTGAAATAACTCAAATATTGCTTGCATTGTGGCTTGTTGCAAGTAAAACGTTTCAGTTAGAGTTGAAATCAT